CAATGTTTATAAGGCCAGGGCTAATTATATTTTAATTTATATTGTAATTACTATTATCACTTTAATTATATTATAATTTATGTATTTACTATTTTCTAACTATTAGTATTGTATTTAAAAACGTTCTAAAAAATAATACATTAAACAAATGTAATTCATAATGTATTATTACACACACGCACAATATATAATCTTCTAATAAGCTGTAATTATATTTTAATTATATTTTGAATTAAAAATAAATATATACCATTTAATTGTTTTTACTTACATGAAAATATGTGTGCATACACATGTATGTTGTTTATAAGTGTTCATTATATTTTAATTTCTAAAATGTAATTATATTTTAAGTTTGATCATTTTAACTTATATTATAATTTATGTATTACATTTTTTGTATTAGTATTACATTTAGAAAAAAAACTGTCTAGAACTAATACATTAAACTAAATTATAATGTTATATTACACACACACATCAAATATCAAATATTTAATTTAACCGATTATTTAAAATAAAAAAAGGTTTCCGTTAGTTTCCTGTTCCTTGTTCAGTTCCAAAAGGATTAAACTAATATTTAATGGAAAAACAACTGCTCAAAAGAGAAAGAAAATAAATGGCCAAACAGTGAACGGCTGGTGCAGAAGAGAGTGGACAGAGGACTGGATCGGTCTCTTGTCTCCAGCGGGTAAATAAACAATCAATGCTCATCTAAATGCAGATGAGAGCGCGGTCCGCACCATCTAACGTTTCTCTTCTGGACCAACTACCCATCACATCCACTCAAAGTGCCTTCTGAGACACCATCTTGGACTAAAAGAGAAACAATCACCCGCAAGATGGGATACTGGGCTGGTACAGGGCAATGGCTCACTGCCCTCTCTATTCTCTAGGTTTATTTCTAATTAAATTCCCTCTGAGGGCTCTCCTGGGCTGCTGTCAAATCAGTCCGTCTCTGAGGAGGCTGTGTATCAAACACAAGTACTCTCAAACCACTGGAACTAAAGATGCTATTATAACTGAGTGTGGTTGTACTTTTAAGGGCAAGCAGATATTTCTCTTTTTTTTAACTGAGGCATATCTAAGATAACTCAAATCCAAAAAGAGAAACACTGGGTTTGTTTGTCCCAAAGACTGAGAGGACTGAGTTGGCTATTCCTCTGATTCCTCTGAAAGACAAAGAAACACGGATCTCACAGAGACAGAGCATTTTTTTTCTCTTATTCTCACCATCTTTGTTGTTTCTAGAAAAGCTGTCAAATACTTGCATGGTTTTTTGCAGAAAGAGATGCCATCAGATTGCGTTTCCAACCCAAAATAGCATCCAAAATAGGCTCACGTTAGACTATTTGTGAATTTCAAAGTGCTAAATTGTTTAAAGTGAAAGGCAAATGTCATTGTGATGGATTATCTTTAAAATTACTACAGACAGATTAGCTGTACTAAAATAGCACATGTTGTTGTCATGTGAGGAGAGTCATTGAAATTTCGAGACTTGACAACTCTAAAAGAGCATGTTAAGGAGACTATAAAATAGCATCTACAAATCAAACCAAAGAACTTCGCAAGATGGCTTAAATTGCTTAAATATATAATTTTTAAAAACATTAAAAAAAATTGGAAATATGACAAAAGCCAAAACAATGACAAAACCATATATGAGACAAATTTTAAAAGTGTGATTTCTAGATTTGGAAAAGTCATAGAAAATAATGAAATCTTTAAAAAAAATTAAATAAAAAAAATAGGAATTTCTATCTTGAGTATACTTTTTCTATTTTTCTAGCTATGTCAAGTTCTAAAATGTTTTATCAGGTAGAAACTGAATTCTGGAAATTAATATAATATAATGTAATGTAATGTAATATAAATCAAGTAATTTAACATTCAAATAATTATAATTCAAATATTTTAATAATTAAAAATGTCATTAAATTAACTTAGCATTAAAAACATTAAAAATTCTTGAATTCTGGAAATTATCATTATTAAATTATTTTAATTTAACTGAAATGTATATAATTAAAATTAATATAAATTAAACATTAAAAACCATTGTTATAATTTAATATAACATAATATAATGAAATAATAATGTAAATAATTAATTAATAAAAAATTAGAAAATGGTTTTTTGCAGAAAGAGATGCCATCAGATTGCGTTTCCAACCCAAAATAGCATCCAAAATAGGCTCACGTTAGACTATTTGTGAATTTCAAAGTGCTAAATTGTTTAAAGTGAAAGGCAAATGTCATTGTGATGGATTATCTTTAAAATTACTACAGACAGATTAGCTGTACTAAAATAGCACATGTTGTTGTCATGTGAGGAGAGTCATTGAAATTTCGAGACTTGACAACTCTAAAAGAGCATGTTAAGGAGACTATAAAATAGCATCTACAAATCAAACCAAAGAACTTCGCAAGATGGCTTAAATTGCTTAAATATATAATTTTTAAAAACATTAAAAAAAATTGGAAATATGACAAAAGCCAAAACAATGACAAAACCATATATGAGACAAATTTTAAAAGTGTGATTTCTAGATTTGGAAAAGTCATAGAAAATAATGAAATCTTTAAAAAAAATTAAATAAAAAAAATAGGAATTTCTATCTTGAGTATACTTTTTCTATTTTTCTAGCTATGTCAAGTTCTAAAATGTTTTATCAGGTAGAAACTGAATTCTGGAAATTAATATAATATAATGTAATGTAATGTAATATAAATCAAGTAATTTAACATTCAAATAATTATAATTCAAATATTTTAATAATTAAAAATGTCATTAAATTAACTTAGCATTAAAAACATTAAAAATTCTTGAATTCTGGAAATTATCATTATTAAATTATTTTAATTTAACTGAAATGTATATAATTAAAATTAATATAAATTAAACATTAAAAACCATTGTTATAATTTAATATAACATAATATAATGAAATAATAATGTAAATAATTAATCAATAAAAAATTAGAAAATGATTCATTTACTAAACATTAAAAAAACGTAGAAAAGAAATTTATGGAAAAATAAATGATCTATTATAAGAATAAAAACAATTAAGTGTTAAAAATATAATAATTTGAACAATTAATATACAGTATAACAAAAATAATTAAACAAAAAATATTTACTATTATTTCAACTATAACTAATTTAAATAATATTTTAATATAATTCAAATGTATGTAATATAAAGAAAATTTATTTAAAAAATATATAAAAAAATATATATATAATTTTAGAAAACAGGGGGTCTTGGATTCACAAAGGTTGAGAGCTGCTGCTACATACTAGTCAGTTTGGTGTTGATGAAGGAGTATGTGATCCATACCGATGAGGCTGTGTGGATACACATAAGACAGAAGCGAAGACTACAGCCTCTTTAAACTGACAGCGCCCTTACTAAAGCGGACCTCTCTCGCTGCAGGCTGTGACCTCAGTGCGTGGTAAATTCAGGAGAGATGAAGCTCCAGTGGCTCTCCACGCGCCATCATTTTCACTGCGTTTCATCCATTTTCTCTCTAATATACTTTTGTTCCCGCACCATTGCTTTCCATTCTTTATGTGCACTTCTCCGTCTGCGAGTCAGTCTGCGGCTCAATCTCCTCTCCTCACCCTTCTTATCTCGCGCTGCCCCGGCTCATCATGGCCGTCAAAGGGGCGATCCGTTACCTGTGACTTTTTGTATTAAAGTCTCTGGCCTTATCAGATTCTGCCCCATTCGGCGATGACAAATTAGGACGGCACATTGCCACATTTATCGACCAAATCACAGCAGACGGCTTCACTTACTTTCTAAGATGAAAACTACACGCACAAAAACCAGTTCAAACGACAATTCACAGGCACCATTTGCTATGCCTCTTCCAGCTTTTATTTTTTCCCAGTAAGTGCACTTATAATATTAGTCAAGGTTTCTTGCACCAAAAACAGTCCAGATTTTATCATGCCAATATGTATGCAAAAGCACCAGTGTTGTTATTGTTAACTAAAACTATTAAAAAAATATAATGCATATACTATAAAATGATGTTATGTAAATTATATAGAAAATATGTATATAATATATTTTAGATATTAAATCTATCAAATATATTATAAAAATATAACCATTACAAATATAAAAATATAATTTAATATAAAAATATATTATATAAATTATATAGAAAATATATATTTTATATAATATATACACATAATATAAAAATATAAAATAAAATGAAATATAAATATTAGTTTAATGTTGCCTTGACAACCACCTGAATTAAGTTGAAGTATTAAAATGACTAAAACTGAAATAAAAATAAATGAAAGCTAAACAGAAATATTAAAAACAAATAAAAATAACAAAAAAATATAAAATTGCCAAAACATAAACTAGATTTAAAATGAAAACTAAAATGATTAACAACAACAACAAAAAGGTCAATACAAAATATAAATAAATATTATAATGGTATATAAATAATACTAAATTAACATTGCAGGCCAACCAAAATATATAATTCAACATTATAGGATTAGGAATCTGAGTTTGAATATAAAACACATCCATCTGTTCACATTAAGTGAGACGTGAATCTTTGAGATGTCTCACCTGATCCTTTCTGGGAGCCCTTCCTCTTTTTGAGGGCCTTCTGCAGAATATCCTTCATGGTGACTTTCTGGCTGTCCACTGGGATCAGGGAGAAACCATGAGCGGCGTTTCTGTGCGTGAGGAAGGCAAATCATCAGTCATAATGACTACATCTTTAACGTTTGCATTAGATGTGAACTTCCTGTCTAAAAGAGCATCAACACTGAGATCAGGACTTTAGACCTCAGGATTGTGCTTCGAGTCTGAACCAACGGCTGAGCATATTAGATTCAAATATGTGAACTAATAAGGCATCGAATCATTAGCTTCATGATGAATTTAATAGGATTTTAATGTTTTCCCAGTTAAACCTGAGGAAACTAAATAAAACTACTGGATAAGATCTGTGCTTATGGCTGCAAAGAATCAAAAAAATATAATCAAGTGATACTGTAATCATACCATTATTATTGTAATATATCATTGTATTATGGAATCATTACCTCAAATGACCAAATCTTATTTAATGCCATAAAAGAAAAAAATAGTTATTTTCTACTAAGCAGTGTTTTTAACTAAAACATTTATGTTAATTGAAAAAAAAATAAAAAAAAAAATAAAATAAGTATATATATTTTTTTTTTCAGTTAGTTTTTCTTTTAAAATGTGTTTTTTTAAGTTAATAATAACACTGATCCATACTGTACAGTTTATTTGTTTGTTTGTTTTCCCACTGCCATAATGAGAATACAATTTTTTTATAATTTAATAATAAATGGTAAAAAAAAAAATGTGTTACTAATAATTAAAAGTAGTGGTACTAACAATAGGCTTAATATATATATATATATATATAATTTTTTTATTTTTATTTTTTTCACTTAGTTGTCAACTATATGTCTAATTTTTGTTAAGTTACAGCTGGAGTACTAAAATTACTAATACTAAAACTGAAATAAAATTAACAACATTTTTAAAAATCATTAAAACCAGTTACTAGCTAAATTAAAATATAAAATTACAAAAATAGTAGTATATTAATTATACTAAAATACATTGCAACTATGTCTTATGTTTCATTAAGATTTTATTAAAAATATCACATTTTATCATAATAAACAATGACAGTTATATCTTAAAATTATAATGTGTAAGCCAGTGATTTCAACTGGATTTTGAACAAATACTCAGTAATTAGATTAATTAAGCTTCATTAACTTTTCAATTTTTTAATATTTTGTTAAAATTAAATTGTAATAGTTCTCAACTCTTTAAGAGACATAATAACCTGTGGTTCAGTAAGCGAATGAGTCAACTGAGCTGATTCAATGAGGAAATGAGTCGTCTGACTGATTCAGTCCATGATTCAGCTGAAGTACTAAAATTACTAATACTAAAACTGAAATAAAATTAACAAAATCTAAAGACAAATTAAATTACTAAAACTACTTACTAAAATTAAAATAAAAAAACTATTAAAAAACATTGCTAAAATAACACCAACAAAATGCTACTATGTCTATAACATATAAAATATACTATAAAAATGCATTGTGAAATATTATTCCAATTTAAAATAGCTGTTTTCTATTTGAATGTGTTTTAAAATATTTTATTCCTGTGATGCAAAGTTGAATTTTCAGCAGCTATTACTCCAGTTTTAAGTGTCACATGATCCTTCAGAAATCATTCTAATATTTACAGTTCTTGACTCATTAAGAGACATCATAAATTGTGGTTCAGTAAGCAAATGAGTCATCTGAGCAGATTCAGTGAGGAAATGAGTCATCTGACTAGGGTTGGGTACCGTTCACATTTTAACCGGTATGGTACCGGTATCGGTACCTGAATTTCGATGCCGGTACCTAACGGTACCTTTTTTCGGTACTTTACTGTCTGTGTAATTTCAAAAACATTTATTTCAGTGAAAAAATAAGTCCAAAAGTCTCAATTTCAACATTTTGAACAATAGGGCCCTACAAACTTTTTCTTTAAAAGTACCGAGTTCGGTTCCCAACCCTACATCTGACTGATTCACTCCATGATTCAGACCAATGACAGAATTATGACTCATGTGATTGCTTCAGGCTGATTCAGTTGATTCACTGAACAGATCTGTACCACTTGAGTATACAAATGGAATCAATATTTTTTTTGCAGATGCAGTCTGAGATTCAAGAGAATCACTCTGGAATAACAGTATAGCGGTACCAGTGAAAACAGTAAGTGGATACAACTGTATCAGAAGAAAATCTTGCACACAGAAAGACTGTATTGTACTCAGAAGTGGGTGGCTTGCTTTAACAGAGCGCATCCTCAACAAATGGGGCCCGAGGGCCAGTCCATGAGTCAAACTTTGAGCACATGTACGCATCACTGCGATAGACTTTATCAACAGAACAACAACCCGAGGCCAGAAACCGGAGAGCGCACACTTTCTGGACAGAGGACTCGCTTGTCCACTTCCATTTAGCAGTCCTGAGCCGTCTGCCTCGGGCCTGGGCTTCTGACAGGCTTCACGTCAGGCCGGGGTTCCGGCAGAAGAGGTCGCCGGCCCCGATGGCCCACTGAGGGCCAGGCACTGGCTCAGTTCTCGCCCAGGGTCCTGCAGTGCCACATCAGTGGTCCTCTCATGAAGGGAACATGCAGCTGACCCAGAGAGCTCCGAATATCAGCCCACGGCTGAAAGCTGATGAATAAAGAACAAATAACTACAGACAAAGACACGTGAAATGCAATGAAAAGTGCAAAGCAGCTTGGCCACAAAAAAAACTTTTCAAAAAAATAAACTCAACCAAAAATCTAAAGTTTGGGGTCTGAAAGATTTTTTACGTTTTTGAAGGAAGTCTCTTTTGCTCACCAAGGCTGCATTTACAGTGGTGTGAAAAAGTGTTGGCCCCCTTCCTGATTTCTTATTTTTTTTGCATGTTTGTCACACTTTAATGTTTCAGATCATCAAACGAATTTAAATATTAGTCAAAAATAACACAAGTAAACACACCATGCAGTTTTAAATGAAGGTTTTTATTATTAAGGGAAAACAAAATCCAAAACTACATGGCCCTGTGTGAAGAAGTGTTTGCCCCCCTGTTAAAACTGTGGTTTATCACACCTGAGTTCAATTTCTCTAGCCACACCCAGGCCTGATTACTGCCACACCTGTTCGCAATCAAGAAATCTCTTAAATAGGACCTGCCTGACAAAGTGAAGTAGACCAAAAGATCCTCAAAAGCTAGACATCATGCCGAGATCCAAAGAAATTCAGAAACAAATGAGAAAGAAAGTAATTGAGATCTATCAGTCTGGAAAAGGTTATAAAGCCATTTCTAAAGCTTTGGGACTCCAGCAAACCACAGTGAGAGCCATTATTCACAAATGGCAAAAACATGGAACAGTGGAGAACCTTCCCAGCAGTGGCCGGTCAACCAAAATTACCCAATATATATATATATAAATTAATACCGGTGATTCTAAATATTAATAAATACATATAGTAGTATATTAAATATACTAAAATAACACTACTACTATGTCTTATGTTTCATTAAAATACAGATTAAAACTACAGTAAAACAGTTGTGAAATATTATTACAATGCAAAATAACTGTTTTCTATTTGAATATATTTAATAATATAATTTATTCCTGTGATCAAAGCTGAATTTTCAGCATCATTACTCCAGTCTTCAGTGTGTCATGATCCTTCAGAAATCATTCTAATACGATTTGCCGCTCAAGAAACATTTACAGTATTATTATCACTGTTAAAAACAGTTGCATTTTTGTGGAAAATATAATATATATTTTCAGAATAGAAACTTCAAAAGAACAGTATTTATTAAAAACAGAAATCTTTTGTAACATTATAAAGGTCTTTATGTCACTTTTGATCAATTTAATGCATCCTTGCTGAATGAATGTCTTAATTTCTATTAGTCGCACTGACCTCAAACTTTAGAACGGTACTGTAACTTGTTGCTTTTACAGTTGATATAATGATGAAGGAACAGTTCACCCGACTGTGAAAACAAATTTCTCCAATCTGCAAAACATCTCGTTATTTCCTAATAAAAATGTCCATGATTATTTGTTAATCGGTGCAAATGTCACAACCTGAGCAAGTACAAGAAAACATCACATAAAACCATCTGTGACGTACACAAACAAACCGAACCTTCACTGCACAATATTAAATTCAGTATTACAGCCCAAACCAAGGTTCCCCATCAAAGGCAGGACAGTCTGGCAGGGTGCCACTCAAATCCAATTAGCAACTTCCAATTAATAGGGGGTCTCCTAATGCTTTATCAGCCACATTAACCAAACAGCTGATTAGACTTCGGCCCAAATGCACAGAAGACAAACAATCTGATTGAGAGCTCACAAAACAAAGATAAGAGCTTGATGGAGAGGCCTGTGGGTGAAAAGGAAAAAAAACTCCAACAAACTTAAAGGACTGAGCGCTTAAGACAGGCATTTAAACCTCATTAATTTAAGGGTTAAAACATTCAGATAATTCTCATTAGAACCTTATGACAGGCTGTGCACTAAAACAAACTTCTAGGCTTCTAGTGAATAATAAAATAAGCTGAATATTTAATGACGGTTAGAAATGTGACAGCTTTGTGGTTAGACGTGGTTTGTCTTACACTTTGGAATTGTGAATAAGCATACATTACCGTTCAAAAGTTTGCATGGGACAGGTAAGGATTTTATTTTTGTTAAAAGATTCTCTTTTGCTCACCAAGAATGCATTTATTTGATCAAAAGTACAGTAAAAACAGAAATACTGTGATATATTATTACAATCTAAAATAAGTGTTTTCCATTTGACTATATTTTAAAATGTAATTTATTCCTGTGATTAAAGCTGTATTTTCAGCATCATTACTCCAGTCTTCAGTGTCACATGATCCATCAGAAATCAGTATAATATGCTGATTTGCTGCTCAAGAAACATTTCTGATTATCATCATTGTTGAAAACAATTAACTTAATATTTTTGAGAAAACACATTTTTTCAGGATTCTCCGATAAATAGAAAGTTCAAAAGAACAGCATTTATTTGAAACTGAAATCTTTCGTAACAATATAATGTCTTTAACTGTCACTTTTGATCAATTTAATGCATACTAATTTCTTTCAAAAATAAAATTGTACGGACCCCAAACTTTTGAACAAAAATGGTATATAGGTATAGTTTATCAAGACAAAACTGTTACCAACCCATTTTACTTGAATTAGGTATAAAGCACATCATTAGAGTAAATCAAGGAAATTTTGACTTCCTGTTAACTTTAGATGCATTCATTCTTCACAGTGAGTCAGTAGTCGGGATGGGCATTTTTCAGAAACATTGTATTCGAATATTTGGGCTCATAAAAAAAAAAAACGAATATTCGTTTATTTCAATGATGTTTAACGAGAAAGACGTTCAATCAAGTTTTTGTCACCATTTCTGAACAAGCTTATGTTTAGGCATCATACACAACAATGTGTACAACAACGTTACGTTATATCTCAAGGTTTTCATTTAGTTGAAAAAGTGTGTAAACAAAAAATATATACATAGAACAAAAGCATTGTACAGAACGTACATGTACTCGAGTCGACCTATGTTTATCATGTTTATATTGTTTTACATCATGTTAATGTTGAGAAAAACAATAATATCCACATGAAAGCGCCTCAGTCTGATAACAATAAGAACGCGCAGCGACCCATACATTCCAGAGAGACAAAGATAACGGTGTGCTAGGCAAAGTTTCTTACAGCGCTTTGTGCTTTCTGTTCTTAAAGCACCCTCTCCCTAGAGCAGCGGTTCTCAATTCCAGTCCTCGCGTACCCCCGCTCTGCACATTTTGTATGTTTCTCTTATTGCTTCATACGTTTGTTATATTTGACTGTAAGCGCCCTGCGAAGTGGACATTACCGGATATTCCTCCATGATTCCAGTTTGAAGGGAGCGTATATGTTACATACAAAGGGCATTTAAGTGTGCGAGAAGTGAATTTAAATTGTATTTATTTACAGA